CTTTTAGATCTAGTGTTTCCATGTGTAAAAAAAAAAAAAAAAATCCACAAAAATGTGAAAACCACTTCTCTAAGGCCAGGGAGTCTGAGAGGGAACTGATTCCCTCCTCACGCAAAAGCACACACATGCTGCGGGGCGAGGACAAGGTCTGTGATGTGATCTGTGTTATTCTGTGGGACTTGGTCTCTGAGAAGCAGGTAGAAATGCTCCATGACTGCTGACGCAAGAATCCTTCTCTCTACCTCATGCTTTTTAAAGAACACGTGATTATCCCTGTTGTGGGGCTAGGACATATGGTGTTAGATACTTAGAACCGAAAGAAATAGTGGTAATCCCCTCACATTCAGCCTCTAGAGATGCCAGTCAACTTGTATAATACATAGAAATAGTTGTCGGGCAGGCTGAGCTCTTAAGCTCATTTTATACAACAATGGCGTACTGCTTCAGACAATTTTTTTGTTGGCCAGGAACACCATTTAAAGGACACACAAAACTTAAAAACAAAAATTATGTTCAAAATTTCTATACCGTCTGTGCAACAGGCCCCAAGATAGAGACCCAAGTTCCACCAAACCATTGACTGAGAGCACCCACCACATCGACCGCTGTATAGACAGACGTGTTCAAACTGGGGCCAGCAGCCTGATGAAAGATGGCAATGGGCAGATATTTCTTCAAAGAGGATATGCGAAGGGTCAAGCAGCGCATAGAATCCCCAACTTAGCAATCATTAGGGAAGTGCGAATCAAAACTGCAGTGAGATGGCCCCGCACAGCCATTAGGCTGAGCACGCTCATAGAAGCAGAAGTGACAAATGGAGGCGAGGATGTGAAAAAGCGGAAGGAAGCCTGTTTTTGGTGTGAGAACGTGAGACAACGAAGCCGCTGTGAAAGGACAGTAGGTATCTCCTCAAAGAATTAAACAGAACTGCTGTCCAGCAATTGCACGCCTGGGTGTAAGTTTCAGAGATTCCCAAGCTGAGACTCAGTTTGTACACCTGTGTCATGGGCAAAAGGCAGCAGCAATCTGATGTCCATTAGAGGATCGTGGATAAGCAAAATGTAGTACCTATGTACATGTACTGCAGTATTATTAAGCCTTAGGAAGGAAACTCCGACACAGGATGCTATAATATAGATGGATGTTGACATGATGCTAAATGAGATAAGACAGTCACAAAGGACACATAGTGTATAATACTGCTTATGTGAAGTGCTTAGAATAGTCTAATAGCAAATTAAAGTAGTGTAGTGCCTGCTTGGAGGGTCAGGGCGAGGGAGCAAGCAGGCGTTCTTTTTTTTTTTTGTGTGTGTGTGTGTTTAGGACAGGGTCTACAGGGTCTACAGGGTCTCACTGCGTAGATTGGACTCTGAGTGATCCTCCTGTTTACAGCCTCCCAAGTGTTGGGATTACAGGCGCAGGCCACCACTTCAGTCTTATTCACCATCTCAGTGCGCCCTGGGGGCAGGGCGGGCACAGCAGGCCTGGGGATTGAACTCCCGGCCCCTTGGAGTTCTTGTTGAATAGTTGTGGAGTTTCAGTTTAGGGAAAAGAGAAAAAGCTTCTGGGGTCAGATGGTAGCGGTGACTGAGGCCACACTTAATGCCACCAAAGAGCCTAAACAACTTTTAAAAGCAGAATCAAAGATTAAGCCACAATCAAAAGCTGCTGCCCTTCTAGGAGGAGTATTGTGGGGAAGGGTCTCTGAGGACAGAATACTTCATGGCTGTAAGTGGCCTATTCTAGAATGACTAACATCCGCCTGATTTTCTAGGAATTATTTTTATGAATTGCAAAGTATTTGTTGAACATTTTCTGCGTAGTACTTTAAAAAAAATGGGATGTTCATCTTTTCTTTTAGATCATTACTTTGTGTGTTATTTCAAGAAAGGAAATAATACTGTGTTTTGGATCAGGTGTGTGTTAGAAAACTACAGAACACGTCAGGGGATTGGGATGGGGTCGGGTATCATTTATTTACGCTGTCATGTGTTAAGCTCCTTAATCTAGAGTTTTACTGGTTCAGTCACTTTTTTTTTTTTTTTTTTTTTTTGGTTAAAAGACATCTGTGTTGAGGTCAGGATCCCTGTGTTCTCGTCTTGCCTCAGCAGTTTACTGAGCCACGTAACTTTGGGTAAAGGCTTCTCTCTAGAGCCAAGAAGAAAAGTCACTGTCCCATAGAGCTTGTGATGTACAGCGTGGGACAAGGACAGCACTGTCATAAGTATAACAATGGGTCATTAATGCTTTGAAAAAGAATGGCTTTGGGAGAGTAGGAGAGTTGCAATTGGGTGGTGATGGTGGTATGTTTTATATAGGGTACAGTGGAGGCTGAAGGAGTAGGGCTTTGAAGAGATTTCTTGGGAGTGAAGCAGTGACCTCTGAGACATCTAAGGGAGGTGTTCTGGGCCAACGGGGTAGCTGAGGCAAAGGCCCAGGCCCTGGGGTTGAGTGTGCTGGGAGCCACAGTGTGGTGAGTCAGAAAAGAGGAGATTATGGTGTTGGAGGGACAGGAGGGCCATGTGGGGCAGGGCCTTGTAAGCTGTGCAGGGATTTGCCTGTCCCTTGGAGAGAGTATATGGAGCCCACTTTGCCTGTGGTGACCAAGGATGAAGCCGGTTATTGTGCTAGAAGCAAACTGTAAGGAAGCAGAGGTTGATGTGGCTGTCATCAACTTCCTAATGTGGTCTGTTTAAAATTCACTAGTCTGGCAAAAAACTTATTAAAAAATGAAGTATTAAGTATTTGGAAGGCTATCAAGGATTTCTAAGGAAATTGAGTTGCCTACAATTGTTTTCTGCTGCACTGGTCCAGTGTGCTGCAGTATCAGTCATCACTAAGTTCTGCTCTAAGGAAAGACAAGCCCTTGAGATTAGGAATTGTACACCCTCAAGCTTTCTATGGTCAAAGTCATCCCAAAGGATCCCCCTTTGGATTGTTTTTCCACCTCCCTTGCCTCATGTTTGTTACTTTGCCTGGTATTTAAGATTTGCCAGGTGAAGATCTGCATATCGTAGCGGTGCCATCCGGGTACTTCCCAGGCCCTGGGGTTTCTGTTGGCAAAGGCATCAAGGAGACCCTGATGGAGGGTCAGGGAGTCCCCGATGGCATTGCCTGAGTCCTTGAAGCTCAGTTTTAGCTGTGTCACCTTCCTCTACTGAAGGTCTTTTGTTGCCATAGGGGAGGAGTTATGGTAACCGTTCACTGGGCTTAAGAACATGCCTCCGAATCCTGACCACTGCCAGGCTCACCAGCAGAGCGCAGTTCTCAGGTGGGTGTGCTGGGCTGTGTCCTCAACAGCGTTCCTGTCACGAGCCGTTCAGCGTTCTGGGACACTCAGTTCTCCCTGTGTGAGCTGGGCTAGGTGATTCTGTTTACCCAGTGATCTTTGCTTGAAGTTTAAAAAATTATGTCAGTAATACGAACTTAGTGTAGAACATTTGAGGGGAAAAAAAAAAAAAACCCAGAATTACAAAGGGGGGGGGGGGCAAAAAAACCTACCAGAAATTGTGTCTTAAGAGAGCCATTGAAATGCTGTTTACACTATAATTTTTTTTCTTGAGATCTTATAAATAAAAAACATTTTCAGATACTGGGACTCCAAAAAGAAAGCTCAAATTCTTAACCTCCCCCCCCGCCACACATTCACAAATGTAAATATGGTCCAAATACTCAAAGTATCAAGACATCTTCCAATAGTTAGAAAACTAAAAGAAAGATTTGAGTTTATTTTACATACAGCTAAAATGATGAAAAAGTTATTATTATTTTTTTAAAATGTATTTGGTTGTTGTAGGGTCTCACTACATGGCTCAGACTCCTGCTTTCAGCCCCTCCAGTACTGGGATTATAGGCATGCGCCAACACACCCGGATGCTGTGGCCAGCTCGGCTCACCCTGGGGGCGGGACTGGTGCGGTATGTGGTTCTGGGGATCCAGGTGCAGTCCCTGTACTTACCTAAGATAGTGCTTTAGTCTGCTGAGCTATCTTGCTGGCCCAAAACAATTCTTTGTGTATGTCAAAAACTGCAGGATGGGGCTGGGGAGATGGCTCAGTAGAATAAGTGCTTCCCTGGCAAGCACAAGGGCCTGAGTTTAATCCCGGGTTCTGCCAAAAATAAACAAACAAACAAACAAACAAACCTGCAGGGTGTTGGTCATTTTCTGAATTTTGCCTTTCTGACTGATGCTGAGTGCATTCTTTGGGCTCAGCGCCTGCACAAATGGAAACTCACGGACATGTACTTCATGCCAGCTCGAGATCTGTGCGGGTTCTCCAGTGTGTGATGCAAGTCTGTTTTTATTTTCCTTTTGCTCAAGGTCAAATGTTTGACATTCTTTTTGGTTGTCTCTTCTGGTAAAATCTCTGCTCAGTAGAGTGCTGACTCTCTTGTAACCAGTTTCGATTCGGTCCCCAGTATTAAAATGGAGATATCCGGCAATATTCAGACTTGAGAAGACACAGAAATTATTCGGGTTTAACCTCAGAATTCTCATCATTTGTAAAAGCCCTGAAGATAATTAAATTATGTATAATATATAAGAAAAATAAAAGAAAAATTCCCTCAACTCACTAAAACTTAAAAGAAAAACTGTGGGCTAGCCTTCAGAATATGCTATTTTTAAAATATGGTTTTTAGGGCTGGGGAGATAGCTCAGTGGAATAAGTGCAAGGTTCTGAGTTCCATTCTTGGTAACACCCCACACACACACACATTTTTTTTTTTTTTGAGATGAAAAAGATAAGGCTGCCCAGATAGTTCAGTGGATTAAAGCAGCTGCTTATGCAGATGCAGGGGCCAGGGGTTCGATCCCCGGCTTGCAGTGCTGGCCCCCGGGGTGCTCTGAGATGACCATTGAGACTGGGCATGGTGGCATGCACCTGTAATCCCAGCGCTTGGGAGGCTGAAAATGAGAATCACTACGAGTCTGATCTACATAGTGATACCCTGTAGACCCTGTGCTAAAAAAAAAAAAAAATTAAAAAAAAGATGAAAAAGATACAAAAGGATGAAAAAGAGAAGTACATGCCTATAATCCTAGCTTTTGAGGAGACTGAGGCAGGAGGCTCACAAGTTTGAATCTTACCTTGGTGACTTATCTTAAAGCAGAAGAAATTTGGAAGTGGTTTAGTATTTTCATGGGTCTGATCCCCAGTACTGCAAAGACAAAAAGAAAAAAGAAAAAAAGTTCAAGATGAGACATTAGCGTGTATATTGGTTAAAGTATTTTAGGATGGTATTGGATGAACATCCAAAGTATCTGATGGATGATTTAGGTAGCAGAATGAATGTTGAGGTGAAACCATCTCGTCTGGGCATCAGCGGGCAGCATGTAAAGATGGAAAGCACCAGCTGTTCAGGAACATTCAGGGAGCTTGTAAGGAGCCGGCTCTGACACTGCAGTGGTAATTACTTTTTTCCTGAGCACACGGGCAACTTCTGCCCGATGCTGGGATTTTAGTTGCTGGGGCATTCGGAGACCGTTTATTTTGCTATCCTATCTTCATGAAGGTGATTTTCAAGGTTCTTTTTGTCTGACTCATAGTGTTACACATGCACTTTAAGCCTAGATCCTTTAAGGTGGTTTCAGCTGACTAGAACCGGAGCTGCCCGTTCTTCTTTTTTTAAAAATTTAATTTAATTTTTAATTTTTTTGTATTTTAGGGATGGGTCTACAGGGTATTGAGGGCCTCACTACCAGATCGGACTCGTAGTGATCTGCCTATTTATAGCCTAGCAAGAGCTGGGATTAGAGGTGTGCGCCACCACGCCCACTCTCAACTGCCATCTCAGTGCTCCCCAGGGTCGGGGCTGGCACGGTAGGCCCCGGGATTGAACCCCTGGCCGCGCTTTTTGGCTGGCTCTTTTAAATTGTATTTTAAAGAAGAAAAACAAAAGCAAATAAGAACAAAGCCAAAAACAAAGCAACATAAAACTATACAAATGATACAGAATTTCAAACCAAGAATAGAAAATTAACAATTGTTATATTGGGTATTCTATCACATTGCTTGCTGAGATTACCAGATATAGGTATGCAAGTTTGATCAAACAAACATTCACACTTCCTTTCCATAAACCTTGTTTTCCTTGTCCTTTTTACTTTTTATCTTTTAATTTATTTTAAAGAAGGTGTAGTGCTGCAAAGTTAAGTCTTTTCCTGACTCTGGATAGTCAAGATGAACATGCAGTTGGGATGTGCAGATTTTACCTTTAATGTTCTTTATTTTATTAGTTCACGTTGCAGTGCGTTATGAATAATACATTCACCTTGGGGAGTTGGTATTTACACATATTGTCTTAGTCCTGCCTCTCCATTTTTTAAATAATTGAATCCAGCACTTCCTAGTGTTTTCTGTCGCCCGTAGTCTGGCGTCAGCGACCTGAAAAGCAGAAGGATGGGAGTGCTGGCTTTGGGACGGGACACACTCACTGAAGGGTGTGTAGTGAAGGTAAATAGTGCCTGTGCCTCTGTGGGCACAGCTACTCATTTGGAGGGCGTGGGGTTTGCGCCTGTGTGACCCTGATCTTCTGTCCTGCTGGAACAGGGTGGGGCCTAAATTTAGGAGCACAAACCTAGCTATCAGTTGGGAGCTGTTATGGCTTGTCTCTAGATGCATCCCCTCCCCAAGCCTCATACACTCCTATATGGGGAGCTTTGGAGGTGGCTGGATTAGAGTATGTGAATGTGGATTAAGAGTGTGGTACTGGGATTAACGGTGTAGGTAATGGAAGCCCCACCCTGGGTATGGGTGACACCAATCAATAGGCCTGTAGCCTGGGTGGACCACAAAGAGACAGAAAGAAGGCAGGCTGCTGCTGCTGCTGCTTGCTTGCCTCTTTGCTGCCTCTGCCTGCTCTCCCATGAACTGCTTCTCCTCTGCGATGCCCCTCTGTCACACCACCCTGCCCCAGAGCTGACTGACCATGGACTGAAACCACTATACACTGTAGGCTAAATAAATCTTTCCTTCTTTAACTTTGGTTGTCTGGTATTTTGTCTCAGCCATGAGAAAAAAAACCAGGACAGGAGGTTTACCTCTCTAGTTTTACCTGACTTTGATTGTGTTTTTTTCCTAATGTGCGATTGTTCAGTCTACGGGAAACATACAGGGCAGGTCAGTTACAGTTCTATGTTCTATTATAGGTTAGTGAAGACCTTGATTCTCACATTTATGCTGTTTACTGAACCTTTCAAAGACCAGGACAGTTGTACCCTGATGAAATATCTGTTGGCCTCACTGCTTCCGTCTTCATTGTCCTCTGCCTTGTTTAGGTCGCCTTGAATCGCCCACATTGCTTTCTGAGCTTAGTAGATACTTTCCAGCTCAACAGTAATAAGTGCCCTGTGGTCTAGGACTTTTAAGAACCTACCTTAAAATCCTAGCGAAGGATTTTTTTGAGTACTCCACCTTTAGCATCATCCTGGATGTCTCCTATGCTGATAAACACATTACTTGTGTAAAGTGAGAAGTGATTATGTAGGGAATTTGCACCTTAATCTTTAGTAACACAAAAGTAGAGCCTTAGACTGGGCGTGGTGGCACATGCCTGTAACCCCAGCTCTTGGGAGGCTGTAAACAGGAGGATCACTACAAGTCTGATCTAGTAGTGAGACCCTGAACACTCTGTAGACCCTTTTGTGTGCTATCTTTATATAGTTTCTTCTAACTTCCCTTGAATATAAATTTAAAAAATGAATTGGCTGCATTGGATTTTGGATAAAGCTTTACCTTTCTAAAAGAATGAACTTATAAGTGACTTAATGACATAGTTGAGAATAGAAGACCTTGCAGCTGCCAGTCGTTTTCACTGAATACCACTGACTTTCAGGTAATTATCCTAACTGGCTGGCACATATGTTATTTTACATTTTGTAGTATAATACGTCAAAGCTTCTTTAAATAGGATTCAAGCAGTCATAGGAAAAAAAAAAATGGGTCTGTATTTACCAGTACAGAAATTTTCATTGGTGGATAGATTCTGATTTTAATACAAATAGATTGTAGTAATGGAAAAATGGTCTTATTGGTTGTGAAACATGATTTCTGTAGTAAAGGATGTAAATTTACACTAGCTTCGTGTACAAAATAGGCCTGATTCTTCCGAACTATTGCTGTACGATGCAGTTTCCAGAAAGATGCCTCTTCTGAGATCTGTGAGTGGTGGAGCAGAATCACATCTTTAGTAACAATACCTCTTCCAAGAACACTGAGGAAATCCTCAACAGTTTACTTCATGCTGTGGTTGAACATGTCTCAGAGTGAATGACAGGAAAGTACACTGTTGTAACAGTTTGCCCTTACTGCCTTGGAGATTTATGCAGTTATCGATTTTGTTGGAGAGCTGCTGTCATTGTACGTGGTGGTGTAAATTTATAATCCTGGCTACTTTAGAAGCTGAGGCAGAAAGGTCTCAAGTGCAAGGTCAACCTGGGCAATTTAGAGAGACCTTGTCTTAAAATTTAAAAAAGTAAATAAAAGGGGTTAGGATGAAATTCCATGCTAAAGCACTTGCCTAACATCTATGAAGTTCTGGGTACAATCTGTAGTATTACAAAACACAAAACCAAAAACCAAAAACCCACTGTCTTTGCAGTTCTGTAGCCTACCTAGGAATATCTATTATAGCTGTAGGAAATTATTTTTTAAAGATAGGATTTTTCTCAATAAAATTATGGAAAAAAAGATAGGATTCATTAGTAGGAATCAAAAATCAAAGACAATTGATAATTTTTACAGTATGCTTTGTAAGAAAACATGTTTATATATTTATGTTGGAAAATTAGAAAGCTTATAACAGTCCAGCAAATAATAGTATTTTTTTCCTACAGTTAAAATGTTTATATAAGTGTTTTTGACTATATTGTTCATTGTAAAATTACTGAGACACTCAAATCATCTCCTCTTTCTTCTTTTATTACTGATTATTATTATTATTCTTATCATCATCAGACTTTTTGAGACAGGGTCTCACTTTGTAGTTCAAGCTGGCCTTGAACTCACTATGTAGCCCAGACTGGTCTCGAACTCCAGTACTCTTCCTCCCTCAGCCTCCCAAGTGCTGGGATTACAGGTGTGCACTGCTACACTAGTCTACATATGATTGTTGTTATCATTATTGTTATTGTTATTATTTTAGTGAGCTGTTGTGAAATGCTCTCCTTTAGCAAATTCACAATGCAAAAGCAGAAGACAGCACAAGACAGGGTACTGTACTCCGAGTGAACAGATTTGCTCTGTCCCGTGCTGAGTAGGAAGGAAGCGTTAGCCTGCTCGCCAAAGTGGAGTACAGTGCATACCGGGAGCCTGGCTCCTGCATCTGGCTTTGCTCACTGTCTTTGTGCTCCTGATGAATTCTTTCCCTTCTCTGTGCCTCAGTTTCCTCACTTGTAAAATGTGAGGCTGGAGTGAACGACCTGGGGGGATGCGCCTTCTTGCAGGACACGGAGCATGGCAAAGAATTTTGAAACATGACCTGATAGACCTGCCAAGCCCCTTCCCACCACGGTGGCTGTGTGTCTAGCTCTTTGCTGCCTCTCCCCCTCAAGGCCTTGCTGGCCCTCACTTGTCCTACTGCATTCCTGTGCTGCTTCATTCCAAGTCTGTTGAAAGCCCACACTCCCGAAGGCTGCTGACAGGACTCCCAAAACCTGTCCCTGCTGTTCGCAGTCATGAAGATGCCCATCCTTTCTCTCCCCTGTCTTCCCTGCCATTGTTTTCCCTCATCCTTCCTTGGCCCTCTGCGCTTCTCCTCTGCAGGCTGGCTAACCTTCTTTATCTTTCAGGTCTTGCCTTGACAGTTACTTGCCCGCTTGTCTTTGCATGCGGTCATCTATTTCCCCAGTTCCTTCTGCTCCTGCTAGAACACATCATGCTTGATGGGGTCCCTACTGTTCAGTCGCTGACCTCGCTGTGCTAGAATGTTCTCTCCATGCAGGAAGCACCCTGTCTGCTCTGGGGTTGCTGGGTCCCTCATCCCAGGGCACCATGCCTGGCATGTAG